GCGCGAGCTGTTTTGATCAGGCAAGCTCGGTCTGCATCTGCGCATGCTTTCGTCATCGTACGGCCCAGCGACGAGGCTTGGCGTCGCTGCCAGGGAACCGCCTCGCTGTAACATGGCTTGCACGCGTCGCCATTGGCTGCCTCCTCTGTCGGCGACTCATTGGGCGGGCGGGAGATTTTCAGACTGTATTCGGTGCAGCGAGACCGACGTCGCAGGCGCCGCTGGCTTGACGACGTGAGCTCACCCCGGCCCGTTCGCCCTCTGATCCCCTTAGCCCTAAGCGGCTGCATAAAACAGGAATGGCTCCATCCAACGCGCTACCGCTCTAGTCCCGTGCTCGCGATCGAGCTCTCCCCTCTGGGATCGCGATGGCGACATGTTGCAAACGTCATAGGCAATAAGGCTGAGATGAACTGCCAACTTTGCTATTCTCGGCCGCCTGTTTGCGCCTACTGCTGCAAACCAGTTCAGACAACTGTCGACCTGTCGACCACCGACCCTCGCTAGGAGCCGCAACAACATGACAACAACAACAGACGTCAGCGCAGACCCGACATGGCTTTCGGAGAGGCCGGGGGCCGCTGTCATAGTTGCTGTGGTGCCATTTAGAGGCGAGCTGAGTCGCTGTTCGAGAACGGCGGCTCTGCCCACCACACGTCTGCACAAAACCTTCATAACGGCACACGATCGGCTGGACCCCACCACCAACGGGCTGACCCCTCCTTTTGTGGACCGCCAGACACACGACAAGCCTTCGCACGGCCAACCTGTGGCGCTTGTTGCAAGCGCCTCGAAAAACCATCGTCTCGTCGCCAGGTGCGACGCGTCGAGCTTCGTATACACAAACAACCGACTTCGCGCCATCACCTGACCTAAATAGGTGAAGGCGAGTCTCACCACAGGGTCTGCGTCATATACCCCAGACCTCGGGACCCGCTTCACGACGCCGCCAGAGCAGGCCTCGCGTTTCGAGACCCTGAAAATCTGCACTCTCGTCACTGGTGGCAGCTTAGCCGTAACTCTTTGTCATGGTGTCTCGTCGTCCACATCGTGTCAGCACCTGGCCGGACGCATCCGACATGATGTGCAGTAAGAGCTTCATCATGGTGGACACTCTGTGTGAAGAAAAACTCTGCCCATGATTCTCAAGACACATCGCGGGACATGTTTCGGGCCCGAGGGTCACTCACCATGAAAACCCAGACAGCTCCTGGAGCTCCTTGAAGCGTTCACCAGTATCAGCCATCTCGGAAATTCAATCCCTTGCGTCGCGTGCATCCCGTTCTCGGCCAGCACGTTGCACATCAGACCCTCTTTCGTGTGACAAAGGATTCACTTATAGTTACTATAGTAATGTACCTCGAGGGTTCGGCGTCCAACAAGAAGCACGGGTTTCACATCGATGCATGCGGCGCCTTCGCTTGCGGCCTGGCGTTTTCGGAAGGTGCGATTCCTGAGACAACGCGGGACGCTGTGACATGCGCTTTCCCTTTCAGCCTGTGACTGCGGGGACATCCGGTGAGCATCCGCATCGTCAGATTCAGATTACCACCACAAAGAAGGGTGTATTTAAATCTGCAACGCGGTTTCGTCTTCCCGCGGGGTACATCCTCATGATTTTCCAAACATACCCTCGCGCATATCGTCCGTTGCCAATCTTTGCGACTCATCCCTCCGCATGACGGTGTGGTTTTGCCCGGCGCCTTTCGCATTTGCAACACTGTTGCCATGGCGATGCATGGGGTCAGACGCGCCTCATGTGTACCCAGCCGGTCCCTCTTTGCACAACTCTATTCGTATCATCCGAATACCCTCAAGAGTCAGTAAATTATGAGCATCCGAGCAAACTTTTCAAAATGTGCAAAAGGGGGTGGAGTTTGTGGCAGAGGCACCGACCATGCAATCTGCGATATCGATAGGAAAACCTCACCGCCTGCTCCTTTTCTTAGTGAACACGGTAGACAGTAACCTCACAGAGCAAGACTGGGATATTTAATGACTGGTAAGCCCGCTTCATTCTTACAACAGGCAACTTGCGTTGCACGTGCTTCGTTTTTGCGGACCTAGATCATGTGATCTGTGTTGAGAGATTGCATCGTGACATCGTCGACAGACTGAAGAGGCTCGGGAGCGGAAATAACCTTGAACCGATCTTTGAGAACACGTTCCTCGCACCCTGGGATGTCGAAACTTTGCTTAGGTGGTGTTCCAGTGGAGAGATTGCCTCCGATGTCATCTTGAGGAAGTACGGGTGTGCTCATCAGGGTCTTTGAGATCACGTCAATTCCATCCCAGGATGCCGAAAGCTTGCTAAATCGAGAGATTGCATCGTCTGTCATTTCGAGGAACTACAGAAGTGGTCATCAGGGTCTTTGAGATCACGCCTCTCCCGCCCTGCGATGCTCAAAGTTTATTTAGATGGTGTTCTAGTCGAGAGATTGCATCGTGAGTCAAATTGAAGAAGCTCGGGAGCGGCTGTCAGGGTCCAGGAGATCACGTCACTCCCATTCTGGAATGCCGAAAGTTTGCTTAGGTGGTCTAGTTGAGAGATTGCATCGTATGGCAATTTGAAGAAGCTCGGAAGCGCATGTAAGGGTCCATGAGATCACGTCACTCCCACCCTTGGAAGCCGGAAGTTTACTTGAATGATGTTCTAGATGCCGCGAGAGAAGGGATCAGAGCCTTGATGCGACCCGTGGAGTCAACTTGACATATCACCCCCACGAACGAAGCAATCAGACGTCCGGCAAGACAGCGGTACAAATTAAACCATGTTGCGCACGATGATTTCAATCTCCCGATGATATATGTCGAGGCGAAGAACCTCTCGGAACAAACATCTACGGTTACATCGCGCTCCGATACACGTCTAATTCTCCCCATTATCATGATTGCTCAAAATATGCCTCACACCCAGGCCATCCCTCGCCCTGTCTTCCTGCTCGACCACGCTCAACGGCAATCCCTTACCAATACCACACAACACGAAGGCCGCCCATTTCCACCTGAACGGGTTGATTGCGATGGTGAATACGAACCAGTAGATGAGCTCCGAGTACGTGAAGAAGTCGAAAGCGCCACCAGGAGCCTTGGTCTTGATGAACCGCGTCATGTCGATCCAGCGCTTCATCCACCAAGTACGCGGTCGAGCGAGAGGGTCGACGAGGTACATGAGTAGGAAGCGCGTATAGATGCCGATGTGGTAGTTGCCGACCGTGCCGATGGCGTTGACGTAGGTGCAGTTGTTTGCGCAGATGGAAGGATGTTCTGGTGGGAAGACCTGGAGGTACCAGTTCGGTGGTTCGTATGGCTCGTTGAAGACCTCGTCTGGGAGGAAGCCTAGGCTTGGACGCTTGTAACCTGTCGCCATGATGACGACGTCGGCTTCGATCAGTTTCTCGGAACCGGGTCCATTCTTGGGGACGCCTCGGGCGCGCTTGTTGAACTTGATGCCGGTGCCAGATTCGTCGTAGCCCAAGATATCGCCACGGAGCCATGATGCTTCACCTGAGCGGATTAGGTCAAGGACTGAGTCGTTCACCATTGGTGTTTCGGTGAAGAGACCCTTTCCGCTGTTGGGTGCTGGTGAAATGTCGTAGAGATCGCGGTAAAAGAAGAGACGGAGGATATACTCCGGAATCCAACTGAAGATGGTCTCCATTCCGAAGATGTTGAAAGCGAGAAGACTGTCGATGAAAGGGTTTCTCGGGATAATCCACTTCTCAGATCGAGCCAGTACGTTGGCGTGTTTTGCTTCTGCGCTGGCGACAAATTCAAGGGCTTCGACGGCTGAGGCACCGCCGCCTATGATGGCGACCTTCTTTCCTTTGGCGACTTTACCGTCGAGTTGCGAACTGTGCCAGATCTCGCCTTTGAAGTGCTCTTGACCGGGAAGTGTTGGCATCTTGGGGTCACCGCATGTGCCAATCGCAGCAATAACGCCGTCGAATCTTCCGTGAGAGGGGTCATTGATGATCCATCGTCCGTGAGGATCTTTGTACACCTTCTCAACCCGCATATTGAACTCCGTCTTACTCTCTAGACCATACCGTTCCCAAAGCGATCTGATTTGTGAGACAATCTGCTGGCGGTCCGGATATCCTTTGCTCCAGTGCACGGAAGGGTGGAATCGGTACATGAGCGAGTGTATTTGTAGACCAGACGTATTGTTCACCCGGCTCCAAATCCCACCAAGGTTCTTCTTGGATCCGGCTTCGAAGATGCGACAATCGAAGCCATGGCCGACAATGTGCGATGCAGCGGATACGCCTGTTAGGCCCGCCCCGATGACTGCGATCTTAGGTCGTACGAGGTTTGCATGCGGTGGCGGCGGTGTTGGCGAGAGTACAAAGTCGAGCACATATTGTGTGACTTCGTAGATGAAGAGAATGGGGTGAGTGAGGAAGTATTTGATGTAGCTCATAAAGTAGCCCATCGTGACGGATGACTTTCTCTCGTTGGGAGAGAAGGGAGATGGAGAGACGGAGGCGAGAAGATGTCTGCGGCGTCTTGATATGCATGACCTTGATCCATTTTACGTGACGTTCAGCTTTTCGCACGGAGCATTGCGGAAACGTGCAGTTTCCGATGTTGTGTTTCGCATATTACGACTTGTGATGTCACGGTGGGCCCGTTGCATTGTCCTGCAGGTGACATGTGAAAGCCTTTCGGGCTGCAACGTTGCTTTTGACAGCACTGAGCCATCGTTGGGCTGGCTTGATTCCGCCTGCTGACAAGACGGGTAGTTGAAAGTATCCTTGAATTATTCAAAGTCAATCTTCCCACGTTTACTGCTTCCCAAGTAGTATCCTAGCAGCCAAAGTCGACCCAAGCTGATGGAACGAATGAGAGGCCTCGTCCGGATCGTCGACAGGGATGGGGCGGATAGCGAGGCTTGGAGCTAGGACCTGACGCTAATGCGAAAGCGGGCAGCTCCTTCTATTTGCGCTCCACCCTCTAGCTCAATCCTTCCTCAACCACCAACGGTGGCTTTTGTAGCCATGTCGTTTTTCCGGGGTCAACCCGATGTAGAGACGCGCTTATGCACGGCAGTTAACGTTGCGATACAAGCCGGAGATCCGCATCAATTGCAGTCCATCGTACTGCTGGAGCCAGGCGAAGGCAATGTTTTCCCGCCAGACCATCAAGAGCTCATCCAGTCCTTGCAACAGAATTACCCTGCAAACAACGAACAATCTGAGAAGCGTCTCGAGGATCTTGTCAGGCGAGTCGTCACTGAGACTGCAGAGTCTGAGGATGAGGAGGGCAGACCTATTCAATCTTGGGGTTCGCTGGTCACCTTCCTTGTCGGATGGATGACCTTTCTCCGGGACATGGACGCAGAGAATCTTGTTTTGATTTTCGAGCTGATGACAGATCTCCAGTCGTATGTTGATGGAAGTAGCCATCAAATTACTTCATGCTAACGCGACGCCAGACGAGCAAATAGCGCTTTGCAGCATCCAACCAAGGGCATTCTGATGCTTCCTACCATCATGTATTATGCCAAGGTATTCGCAAGAGTAGCGATTGGATTAGAGAAGAGACCGGACTTGACGATGCATCTCATTACCACCGACGCGGACGAGGATGGCCAAAGCGAATCATTGCCAGAGCGGGCAGCGAATATCGTGCGACAGGCCTTCATCATATGTCTCAACGACCGCAACACTGTACCCGGAGGTATCAAGGATGGTAAGCCTGACGGGAAGAAGGTTGGAATCTACAAGATGGCAAACATATGTTTGAAGACCCTCTTCCAGGCCGATAAGCTGGGGAGCTGCGAGACCATCTTCAACAACATATCGAACTCCTCACCACCATTACACATCTACCCGGCTGCGGAGCGCATTACCTTCCTTTATTACCTCGGGCGGTACCACTTCAGCAACACCAACTTCTACGGAGCTCAGCTCGTTCTGGAGCTAGCATACAGAGGTTGCCACGGGCAGTGTCCAAAGCAACGCCGCTTAATCGCAGTCTGCCTTGTCGCTGCCAACATCCTCCTCGGTCGTTTCCCGAACGAACTCATCTACAACGACCCTGCATGCGTGGGCTTCCGGGAAGTCTTCGAGCCGCTTTGTCGTGCGATTCGCAAAGGAGATCTTGAGACATTCCGTCGGATAACGAACCTGGATCTTTCCCACCCAAGTGCCGAATTCATGATCAAATACCGTATCTTCTACCCAATCGGCAACTATTGCGAGCCCCTCGTATGGTGGTCACTTCTCCGCAAGGTATTTATCCTTACTGGAAGCATAGGGGAAGCATCGAAATCGGCTGCTTTGCTCGACCTCAACGCAGCTGTCCTTGTATTCCGCTTCCTAGAAGCGCGCTCGCTCATCAGAAACGCCGCAATGGCCGCGCAAGACCGTGGCCCCGGCCGTCGCAACTTTGGTCACATCTACCAAGACCATGCATCAACAAGCAAATCGACATACATCGACCCGGACTTTATCGGCATGGAAGGAGTACAGCCGTATACCCACGAGTATGATTTACTAGAGTTGGAGTGTATATGTGGCAGTCTCATCACCCAAGGTTATCTGAATGCGTACATTGCGCAGGCGAAGCAGAAGTTGGCCATCCAAGGTGTTAAGACGGGTAACCTGAGCGCTGGATTCATCAACCCGTGGGAAGTCAACAAGGAGAGGAACAAGGACGAGGTGCTTGGATGGAAGAAAGAAGCTGGAGGCGATGGAGGACAGGTTGTCAGGCTGTCGTCCGCGGCACCGGCTGGGATGTAGAGGAAGATCGCGCATGATACCCTGATACCGAGATTGGATAGGAATATATGCCAGTAAGACTCCATACGTTGCTTGCGCTAATATTCCGGATGAAAGTCCAGCCAAGAAGTCCCCAACGCCGATGTTGTTGCGTTATCTGCAAAGCACGAACCCACTCCAACGGCCGTACCGCCAGCACCGTTATTGCCCACCCATCACCAAAGTGTCAGCAAACTACGATGACCGTGTTGCTTCGAACCCTCTTGTATTGTACTCTTTTCCCTCGTCGTGGTCTCGGATGATCTACAGGAGAATCGCTGTCACCTGTGTGCTGTCAGCACCGCGTCAACGAAGTGTACTACGTATACTCACTGTAGGAATGCTTTCTCGACAAGCCCATGCCTCGACGTCTGGCGAGCCAAGTTTTGAACGCAAACCCAACGCAAGGGATGAGCACGACGATCAAAACACCGAGCAATCCAAAGAGCGCTTCCTTCGACCATTGAGGGCTGATGATAGATTCATCCGGAGGAGTTGCGTTGGAGGAGACAGCTGGGTGTGATTAGGACACGAGGCCGGAGGTCAACCAAGCAACATACTAATTGAAGGCATTGCCGGCATTTGCATTGGAATGGGAGATCAACTGTCGCCCTAGGGAAAATGATGCCTCTTCAACCAAGACGGAGCAGCCCTTGGGCTTCAAGTCGACTTCCAAGGCCTGTAATCTAACCTTTTCTTAAATGGGATCAAAGTGGAAAGATTGCATGCAATCAAGTATATAGCAGGGAAGAGTGCTTGAAGGCAAGTAAGTTTGCAAAGGTATTGAAGTGCTAATCGTAGTAATGTTAGATGAGGTGTTTCCCTCGAGGAATCAGCAGGAAACGTGATGGGGGTTAAGTAGCACTTGGAACGGTGTGGGCAGCTTTTCGTGCCAAGGAATTTCGTGGTCGGAGCCCAGATGCGGAAAGGCTGTTAGAGGTGGCGCAGCAATGCCTTGGTCTTGGGGCGAATAAAAACGAACGGGCGGAACTACTCAAGCTAAGTAGCATTACGAGAACAACTACATGAGGTCTTCTATTGAGGAACAACAAGACCATGCAGATGCGCCGCCTGCTAGCGACAGACGCTGCAGTCGTCCTGATCTGTGCATGATGTCATGGCTGTGATCTATAGTTATATTCAAATAAGTTTGCCTTCTCTTCACATACGACCATAGGAACTCGGTCTTGATTATAGTTAAAGGTGCATGCTCTTTTCTGTTATGCGGAGTGAGTGGCCAATGGCCGACCGCATCTTTAAAGCTGCATTCGAACGCCAGCGGGGGTGGCGTAGTTCTCTTCTACTTGTTATCCACCTAACTCCTCCTTCACAATCTCAAACTGTAGAGGAAAGTCTACTATGGAACACAACGCGACAGAAGAGAAAGAGATGATTTTCACTCACCTGCCCATTGCTAAACCAATTTCCTTCGAGCATTTTAATGACCCCGCTTTCTGGAACAGAAACCCCGACGATGAGCTGCCAAGTTGTGGGGGACACGGCACTCTAGAGGCTTTACAAGTTATACAGTTACTAGAGGGAGCTGGCATTACCTGTTGTGTGGTTGGTCCTTCTGCTCTGATGTACTATGGCGCCGTAGGACGTCAGAAAGTAAGCTAAAAATGACAAGCTATCGTCTGTTTTGTCCCCATCCTTGCACTACTGACCTGGCATACTAGGACTGGACTGTGTGCGTGCCCACAGAAAAGCTTGGAGAAGCGTCCGCACTTCTGAATTCAGTCGACACCTACGAAACCTATCCGCCTCGTCCTCCAGAACCGCGTTCACTCCTCCACACGTTCCCGCGATTCAAGCTCGTAGGCATAGCGATGGCTATTACTTTGGTTCTCTCAGATGACGCGCATATTGATTGCATAGCCCCCAACATTGAGCGCAGCCAGATGGGGATCCCGTACCCGGTGCTGGAGATATTCGCACAGAGTCTTCTCGACACCTACGATATTGGCGGACTCCAAAGCCTTGTAGACGGCATGGATCTGACTGAGCAATGGGGTTTAGATCACCTGAAACTTGACGCCGAAAACAATGTAGCGTGGGCACGGAGAAAGAATGAGAAGATCCGAGCTTCGGTTCCACTTTCCTTCGGCTCGTGTTTCTTGGAAGTTACACCCAACCCCTTCAATCTGAAAGAGACTTGGAATGAAATAGTCCAAACTAAAAAGCTTCGTATTGGGATAGAGTTGCCGGAGGGATATTTTTCCACGCAATTCCGTGCTGTGGGATCCCCGGATCCACGGTCTATAGAGAGAGACTGCGTATAAGGCAAGAGGTTCTTTGCGGTTACGTTTGGTGTTTTACAAGCGGAGAAGTCCGGCGACTCTCCAACACCCTTCAGAAAACGACGAGGATGGTATTGCCCCGACTTCTTTTGAACCTCCACTGTTTTCTTAGCGATGATCCCCTGGCAGCCGCATGAAGATGTTTGGTATCTATGTCACTTCTTCTTAGTCGTGTTCGATGTCGACGCCACTGATCCGCAGACCTTTGCAAAGTACTCGGTTAGGCATGAGTTTCATATGTCTGTGTACGCATAGCTTCAGTAAGAGCCCAAAGCACAGCAACAGTACCATGACGAGTATGCCGAGTAAAGCGAGTATTGCTTCTTTCGACCATTGCGAGTCTGTTGGGTTTGGTATCGCGGGACTCTTGGGGGATGGAATCAGCGGTGCTAAACGACGTTGTTAACATCTTTCATGCATTGAGTCCGCACAGGATGAAGTAAAAGCTGTTGCTTGGGAGGCATGACTCTTGATGATATTGGTCTGCGGTCAAACTCTCCTGCTTCGAGATATGCTAGAGCCGCGACTGGTGATCAAACTGGTGCAGTCGATGAAAGCGAACACGAGAAGAGGAAGACGGCGATGCGAAGCGAGCTCGGAAGATCTCCAGTACGGGTGGCAGTGAGTTGGTAGAGAGCCTGAAGTTGCTGGAGGTTTTAGTCTTATATGGGCTACACGGTGCTGCACGCGAGGCCGCACGATACAATCACTTGTACGGCAATCGACAATTCTTGCATCGCCGGATCAGGCGGTGTCGAATACATGAATTCGGATAAATCGGCACTCAGTCGCAGTCGGACACTAAGGCAGTGCAAGCGACCTGCCCCACATCCGACCTCTACTTAGCCTTTTGAAGTCTAAATATTTTATTGTATGTGTTGTAATGCTTGTAAACGTCATGTACTTACAGTATCGTTTGAAAGAGCTTCACAGACCTCATTGGCGTCTGAAAACTAAAACCCGCGACCCGGCAGTAGGCGAACCACTTGTGCTTGAACCCCGGGTAGCAATACGTAATTAGTTCGAATTCAGGCTTGCGGCACCGTAATCGCGCGATGAAGGCTGGAAGAGTATGTTTGCCGGGCCAAAGAACCGAAGAAGATCAACTCTACAAGGTCCATTTCCTATGATCTATCTTACACCACCGCTTGTTGTCCGTCTATTGCCCAACGTTGGTGAAGCGCAGGTACTTCTTGACCTCCCTGACATCGCCAAACTTCTTCCTGGCCTCCTCAGTGCTGACGCTGGGTGGCACGATGACGTCTTGGCCCTTTTGCCAGTCAATAGGTGTAGCAATGCCCTTCTTGTCTCCTGTCTGCAGGCTGTCGATAACTCTCAGTACCTCCGCAGTGTTCCTGCCCGTGCTTGCGGGGTATGACATTGTGAGGCGGATCTTCTTCGCTGGGTCGATGATGAAAACCGAACGGATCGTGAAGGCAATGCCGCCGTTCTTCTGGAGCGCATCGAGGTCGTCTTGCGAGATCATATCGTAGAGGAAAGCGACGTGGCGGTCGGCATCGGCGATGATGGGAAACTGCACGGTGGTGTTGGAGGTCTCGTTGATGTCGGCAATCCACTGGTCGTGAGAGCTCAGGTCGTTGGCGCTCTACAGCAATGTCAGTAGGCCAATCTTCATCTGTCAATGAGCCGATAGACGCGTACCAAGCCAATCATCTGGACGCCGCGCGCATCGAATTCATCCTTGAGCTTCGCAAAGGCCCCAAGCTCAGTCGTGCAAACGGGTGTGAAGTCGGCAGGGTGGCTGAAGAGGATAGTCCACTTGTTGTCCAAGAACTTGTGGAAGTCCTACTTGAAGTCAGCATGCGTTGCGCAGCATTCGTCGGAGAAGCTTACCATGTCGCCATGGGTGGTCTTCGCCTGGAAGTTAGGCGCTGCGCGTAGTCAGTACCGTTGATCTGAGATATACTCTAAACACTACATACCAATGGATCCCAGCCTCAGTCGTGGCTGCTCAGCTGGAAGCGCGATCCCGCGACGGAGTAGCGGGGCAGCAGGACGCTGTACCCGCAGGGCAGGACGCGCCGAAGCGCGAAGAGCTCGAGAAGCTGCACGAGGGAAGAATGAAGCCATTGTGAGGTTTTCAGAATACGATCAGGTATCTGAGATGTGTTCTGGAGCTTTGGAGGGTGGCTCGCGGCGGCAACGTCGATTAGTAAAACGGGGACTTTTCGACATGGCGTCATGTCGAATCAAAAAGCCCCGCCGGTCCGAAATCGGCCGTCTCTACCTCTTCGTGCAGTAATAATTCCAACACCGCTGACACATTCTGTCGGACATCCATCGCAAGCATCCGGAGTTGTACGAATTGATGTTGCGCGCGGACAGCAGCAACGACCCTGCCACGCGTGTGCCACGCGACGGTATCCAACATGACGTCAGCGTGCGTGCATTAGCACCAGCGAAGCCACCGACCATATCTCACACCTTTCCATCTACTTTCCCATCCTTGATGGTTATGTCCAACTCATCCTCTGAAGCCAGCATGATTGGAACAGTGAAACCCTTCCACAAACGGGCGGGAACCCTGTCGCCTTCTGCCTCTTCCTTCTCCAGCTCACCACACCACCATGTGCAACCCTTTGGACGCATCCGAACTATATATCGGCCATTCTCAAGGCTTCGGAGCGTGCGTTCAATATCGAATGAATTGACTAATGGGATTCCAGGTTTCAAAGTGATCAACTCATCCATCTTGGCTCTCAGGTCGGTTTTCGCATGCCGCAATTGGCAGATGCTGGTCTGTTGCCTGTGCATCATTTTACCAGTCGCGGCATTGACGATGAGAAAACTTGATGTGGGCAGACGATTTAGCTCTGACTGATCAATGACCCTGCGGCGACCGTCGAGGGTATTCGTTTCGGTAGCCGAAGGACCCCATGGGACGAGGAACTTCTGCTGGCCCCTTGACTGTATGGTCACAGTCTCGGAGCCACTATCAACGACAGTGATTTCCAACGATATGTCATTGACGAGACACATGCTCGTCACTAGTCGCGGTGGAAACTTCAGGTCATCGACGACCTTGAAAGCTGCATTACCGTGGCGCCAGCTGTTGACTAGTCTCACTTCCTCGCCATCTCCGTCGCTGTCGGCAAAATCCTCTTGGTTGCTGTATGTCCATTTCTTGACTCCAAGGTCGCGACTTGCGAGTCTTATTTTGTATCTCTTTCCCGGCTTCAAAACTGACGCTAACACGCCCTGGAGATCAATAGCGCATAGATATACCGTGATATCATGTCTCCAGCTCTTTGTTCGATGAACCCGGGACGGAACTGAAATGCAACCTCGATTGTTCGCATCAACCTCTCCAAGCGAGCTTACATGCACTTCAACCCATTGCCTAGCTTCCCCGGGGCGTTCTTCATACAGGGTTAGCAGGCCATGCGCCAGTGCGTAAGGCACATCGAAGACTGAACCGACTGTGTCAATAAGTATTGATCGAGGGTCTGTATCAGACTTTTGTAACCGACAAATACCAAACACTACACTGAATGGTAGCTTCCCTGATGCGTCGAAGACGTTGTAGCGGCTGTGGAGCTGAACGTGAATCGGAAATTTGGTCATTGCGGCTCGTACGTGAGAAGAGCAGAAGAGCCTGTGGATACACCGGGAAGTAAGAGTGAAGGGCGTTCCTGAAGATGAGTCATCTTGCAGGTTTTATTCGCTTTCCTATTAGGCCTTGAACATAAGCACGAGATAAACACTCGTTGTTGCCTGGCGTCGCAGACATGCCACGCGAGTGCCCCACTCCGAATCTCGAACATGACGTCATCCCGCATTGTCGAACCCCGAGCTTTCCACATGAAACTTGGTCGATGTGGCTGGGGATCAGGGCCACGCGCCTCGCAGCGGAGAAACAAGAAATGAAAAGCCGTTGAAAGCCCAGCCCCGCGCGCCGAAGACGTTGTGCTCACACCCGAATCGTCTTCGGCAGCGCTTGCCTAGCTACACTCGCTTCCACATCGCTCAATATGTCCATAACGTCCTTCGACAACAAGCCCGGAACAGGCGGCTTCCTAAAATTCAACTCCGGTCCGCCGCGCATATATCTCACCTGCGCACTTCCGGCACCAGAGAAAGCGCTGCTGTCCTGGCGCGAAGAAGGCTACGATGCGCAATACCTGCCCTACGATCCCAACACGCAAAACCAAGCAGCCTACATCCGGTCCCTGAAAGAACTATCCATAAATTTGAACCTGGGCGAGAACTACGCGATAATAGCTTATGGCGACGCAGCGAGCGTCGTCTTGAAAACAGCACAGAAGCCGTTGGCGAAATGCTGCGCTATCATAGCGTTTTACCCGAGTGTGTTGCCGAGCCCTAAGACCATGTATCCGAATTCGCATCAGCTGCAAGTCCACATAGCGGGACTCAGCCAGTCTAGCTCAAGACCGGATATGTGCGAGTGGAAGCTGTATCGGTACGAGAAGTGTGCTACAGGTTTTGCAGATCCATCGTCGCGAGCGTACTCGGAGGTGGAGGCGAACCTGGCATGGACAAGAGCGCTAGCATGTATACGCAAAGGATTTGGGAAGAACGTGGATCTTGAACCGATTGCGCTGAGTCACTGGAACGCGAGGTTCGAAGACGACGACCCTGATCGAGCGAGTATGAGTGTGGTGAAGAACATGACGCAGGATAGCCCGCATGTTACGATCTTGCCGACTATGCAGGGTGGGGTGGGAAGGAAGAAGCTCGCGGAGTTTTACGGAGAGTTCTTTGTGCCTAGCCTGGTGGAAGACTTTTCTATACGGTTGGTCTCGAGGACTATGGGTGTTAATCGTATAGTGGACGAGATGGTAGTGTCTTTTACGCATTCGGACGAGGTTGACTGGGTGCTGCCAGGCGTGCCGCCGACGAACAAGCGGGTGGAAATACCCATGGTCAGCATTGTGGCGGTAAGAGGAGACAAGCTGGTTTCAGAGCATATGTATTGGGATCAAGCTTCTGTTCTTGTGCAGGTTGGCTTGCTGGATCCTAGGATGGTTCCGAAGAAGTTGAAGAATGATGGATTGAAGGCAATGCCTGTCGTAGGGGCGGAGGCAGCAAAGCAGTTGGTTGAACCGCAACAGAACCGATACAATAAGCTGTTGCAGATGCACGGTCTCATGGATGGGTTGAACGGTAACTGAAGAATGTCGCATCTTTCCAGCGCGGTGTTTTGGAGTAATGCTTGGAAGAATCGCTTCATCGAGCCTAGGGGCTTTGCTGTAGCTGTTTGCTCAAATCTCCAATACTATCCATTATCGAAGTTCACCTTCAAGTCAATTCTGGGATTGTCTATTCTCAACCGATGAAACTGCATGTCGGCAGCTTGTACTCATTGAGTACCCAGTACTTCCGCCTCACACCCTCCCATTCGCCCTTATCATCCAGATTTGGCACCGGAACCGTTTCCCACTCTGTGTCGAAACCAGCCTCGAAAAGATCGAATTCTACGATCTTGTTGTAAACATGGTAGACAATCTGGCGATCTGCTCCCATTCCGTTGAAGAAGCCGAACTTGCCTCCTTCGCCATCGGAACCACCGGCGGGATCGAGGAGCCCGATGACATGTTCTGTGAAGAACTCGCGTAGTGCTTTGTACTCTTCCGCGAAGGTATCAAAGTAGATCGCGTCGAATAGCTCGCCCTTTTCGACAAGACCTGGTACAATGTCCTGCCAGCGGCCCTCGTGGATGACGACGCCCGGCTTCTCGTGCCACCCCTGCTCTTTCATGCGCTTGATGACATCTGGGTGCGCCTCGATGATGTGATGAGCCTTTGGCTTCTTCTCCTGGAAGATACCGTCGATGATTCCCATTCCATGACCGACGTTCAGAACGCGAAGCCCTTCTGTTGGTACCAGTAGTTCCGCAGATTTGCGCATAAGCGTTGTCTCCCACTCCATCATGACTCCATTCGAGGAATCGTCCAGTAATCGGTCGCGGTCGAATGTGAGTTTGGAAGAGAGATAGTTTGGGTTCTCGGTTGATTCATCGCCTTGCGCTTCTTCCTGGCTGATGTCCACTACCTCGACGCCTTCAGCCACCTCTTCCACCTCATCATCCTCCTCGTTCTCTTCGTCTGAATCATCGTCTCCAAGAAGCTGGTATTGCTCCATGCGACTCAGCAGCATCTCTGCGCGCACGCCTGCGTCGACACAGAGCTCGTATAGCTCCTTGAGCCCCAGTCTATGCGCGATGCATCCCGGTGTTTCGCCGTTTGAATCCAAGTCGTTCCATATCGCGCCGTTCTCGAAGAGAAACTTGATAGTCTTTACGGCGCTGTCCATTTCGTTCTTCGTATCCTCCGCCCCATCCGCTGCTTCACCGTTTGTGTTTCCGTTGACTTGTTTTGCGTCATCTTCGTCGGGCTCACAGGCAGCGATTGCGGCGTGCAGAGGCGTAAAACCAGTCTCGGAATCTTGGACGTTCGCTGAAGAGTTGCGCAGAAGGTTGCGGAGGGAGGCGGTGTCGTGGTTCGCAGCGGCGAGCAATATGCTCTGCGTCTGGAGATCAGTCTGAGTATCGAATTCCGGGTCGTCCATGATTATTTCAGTAGTGTTGGTGTTGCGTTCGCAAAGTATTCGGAGGGGCAGTTGAGGGGCCTAGAAATTTATTGAGGCGCGAGTCATGCAGGGTCCAGCTGGTGGATGTCGCGGTGTCAGTGTAATCCTCTCAAGGTCACAGCAAGACTGAACTACACGAGCACACCAACATAATCTTGCAGCATAGACTCAAACTCAGATACCCCATTTTCAGTTAATTGAGTCACTCACTCCGAGCGAACAGCGCTACTCAATCCTCTACAACTCGTCGATAACACTTGAATCCAACATTTTCTCCAACTCCTCCCTCGGAGTGATCGTCCGGTTGTCCTGCTTCGCTAGATACCCATCCTCTTCCACCAAAAAGTCTATCATCCCATCATCCCACCGTCCACTCCAATTATGGTGCTTCCAAACAGCCTCGACAACCTCCACATCTGCATCAACAGTCTTAGCCACATATTCAAAAACGTTCTTCTCCTTCGGCGTATTCGTGAATACGTCCCGTGTTTTGTCAAGCGCCCTCACAAACTCTACAATGTCCTTGCGCCTCGAGGGATTGTCGAGAGCTTCTGTAGTAGAGAAAAGCGCATAGACTTCTCTGTAGATTGATGCGTTTTGGAAGATGATCGCGTCATCCCCCAAAGCCCTAGCGCCAAGCTCAACAGAAGTTTCCCAAATACCGAACGCATCCAGGCTTCCGTTGTTGAGAAGGTACGGCAGAGTATCGTTTGCACACGGCGTCTTCATACACCACCACGCATTAACCCCTTCGTACTCATGATCCTTCACACCAACACTACTCATCATATTGTGTACGAACACTTCCGCACTCGAACCCAGAAAACTGCCAATCCTCTTGCCCTTCAGATCTTCAAGTTTGTTGATACCCTTCCTTCTATCGGCGACGAGGCGGTACGAAACCTCGCAGATGACGTATATCAGGCGGATGTTACGGTGTTCGACATATTGTCTGATACTTGGTGTTTCGGCGTTGGCGCTGAGGTCGACGCTTTGGTTGGAAAGGATGTCGGGGACACCGCCTGATATGAGAATTGCAGGCGTACTGCCGTTGTAGAAGTTCTCGATGGCGTAGGGCTGAGGCGTCCGCTCTATCCAAAGGGGGTATGATGCGATTGTAAGTCCGACAACATGGTGAAGCTGGATGAAAACAACGGCGAGTAGAAGGACCGACAACATCATGCGTCGTGTGAGCGATGAGCTATCTGATTGTGACAATTAAAAGTAATCTTCGAAGCTCGAGCTTATATGTGTCTACTTGCGTCCCGGTTGCTGCGAGAACTCTGTTACGCCGGGTCAATACGAAGTCTTGGAATTCTGCATGCAATCACAGCATCCCGATCGATGACGTCGAAGCAGGGATCAGTGCATTGAAGTGGTTACCCATATAGGATTATTGCAGGGTACATCGCCCCATCTTGGCATTCTACACATAGGCTGTCAAATTTGGGGCGTAAAAGAGATGCACGATACTCAAAACGACGCGGAACAGTTTTGAAGATCTGCTGCATACCACGGTTAGACTGTCGGAAACAAGCTTGCCACTAGAATGCATTTTAGCAGATGCAGCAAGAAGGTACAATGACACAGAAAACACGTCAGAGGAAACAAAAAAGACACAAACGCTTCCCGTGTCTCATTGGGTCGCTGATGAGATAGAACTTCATATTTGGCTTTCGCCATGCCTACCTACCGTGACGCCGTGGTACCAACATAGTCGGATCGGGTACGCGATGTACGCATCAGTAGAAGAATGCCAAGGTACGTATGTTCGTTGTACAACAGCCTCAGTGAGACTGTATCCAGCCCAGCATTTGACCAAAAGCTTGCGCTTGTGACTGCTTGATCTTGGCATCCTCATAATCTCCATAGACAGCAAAACCATGAGGTACGCCCTCGAAGACCTGGATCTCATGCTCGACTTTGTTAGTCTCCATGGCTCTGCGACCAGGTGTCAATGCGTCTTCTTCGGAGAACATGGGGTCGTCTTTGACCGCGGCAATGTAGACGGGCGATTTGACAGCCTCGAGGTCCTCCTTGTATGTCATGGTTGGGTGCGCAACAGCGCCAGCCCTGAGAACGGGCTCTTTCTTGACCGTGCCTTGCTCTACATCTTTCTGGGTTTCTTGGCCCCAGGCAACAGTGTCAGGCAGCTCGGATGCCAACATGAGGATGTACTTGGCGCCGAAACAATAGCCGATGCCATATATGCCTCCACCATTGGCAACAGCATCGGCGTACTCTTCCTTTGCACTTTCCACAACCTTGTGAAGTAGCGGAAGGACCTTTTCGGGAGTATGCCGAGCGAGCCACATGTCAATCATGAACGACTTGATGCCCTCTGCGGTCCTCAGCTTGACCGATTCTAGCCATGATGCTTCCTTGGGTATCTCTGTCATATCAACAGTATTTGGCGCAGGGTCGTTGTCGAACTGGTCGGGCATGACGACGAGGTAGCCTTCCGAAGCGTACTTGTCAGCCTGCAGCTGGTTGTTTGTGGACTTGACGCCAGTGCCGCCTGTTAGCATAAGCAGGAGCTTCGAGGGCGAGTGTGGGTAGTCGGCCGGTTTCGCGATGTAGCATTCGACGCCGCCTAGCTTTGTGAGGTCGCCGGTAGGTTTCTCGCCGGTAGGTGTTGGACGATCCGTGGTGCAGTGTTCCTGGATAATCAGTATATGGAGGTAGTAAGAGCTGGGGTACTAGATGCAGGTATCCACAACACACTCAAAGTGTCTTGAGCAACAGAACTTTGGGCATGCATATGCAGCTTCCCGTGACAATGACTTGACTTACACCCATGCTTGGCCCTTCTTGCGCTCTGGTGTCTCCGGGGAAGACGCTCTCCGCTGCTGCCTCTTGGGCTTGCTCTTGAGGCTTCTCCTGCGCATCACTCTCGGGTGCGCGCGTAGCAATGTCGTTGTCCGCCATGATGTCTGTATATTGTGCAGTGTTGAGTTGATATACGCGAAAGTTGGTATGAGTGAGCTGCAGCTGGCTGTGAAGGGTCCAAGCCAATTAGGTAGCCCCGCACAGCCCCAGAGCCACTTGGACGCGTGGATGCGGTTAGAGCGGGGCCACTGAGTCACGTGTCGAGACGCGTCGACGCGCTTTCTCATCTTCGACGTGTGCCCGCCACCGACACACGCCATCTCAACACCACGCAAACACACACATCACAGTCACCATGGCAGAGGGAGCAATCACGCAAGGCGCTATTCAGTGAGTAATGGCATGATGAAGAATTCTATGTCGCATTCTGACACCGCCTAGGAGCATCTTCCAGCCCAGCGGCTGCTTCGTAGAAAATCCCGTCCTGCAATGCGTGCAGATCAAGACCATGGAGCCCAAGGCGGGCGAGGCGAACCCAGTACAGCGCTTCCGTGTTGTCTTGAGCGACATTCGCAACTTCATACAGACTATGATCGCGACCAGTAAGTCAAGCGCAGGCACCATACGGACGTAGCTAATCGTGTGCAGCCGCCAACGACATTGTCACTTCTGGTCAGCTTAAGAAGGGCTCAATAGTTCGCCTCCTCAAGTACAACCCTCAGCGTGTCAAGGATAAGAAGTACGTATTTTCTTCCCTTACAAGTGTTCTGTCCTAACAATTGCCAGCATCCTGATCATCATGGAACTCGAGGTCCTGTCGCAATACGGCGAACTCGACAAGATCGGACAGCCCGAAGCTCTCGACACCAAGGCCGCTGAGGCACAACCCGCAGCCATCTCAGGCAACAACTTCTACGGATCGAAGCCCGCGCCTGCCCCTCAACAACAGCAGCGATCCCTCCCTACTCACCAGAGCAATCCCGGTACTTCCTCGCATCCCAACCTCTACCCTATCGAGTCTCTTTCGCCATATGCACACAAGTGGACTATCCGCGCACGATGCACAGCCAAGAGCGATATGAAAGAATGGCACAACCAGAAGGGAGCGGGCAAGCTGTTCAGCGTAAACCTGCTCGATGACACTGGCGAGATCCGAGCCACGGCTTTTACAGAAATCGCTGATAAGCTTTACCCCGTCTTCGAGGTGGGCACCGTATACTACATTTCAGCACCCTGCCGAGTCACGCTTGCTAAGAAGCAATTCTCCAACCTGCCCAACGACTACGAACTGCAATTCGAACGCGACACCGAAGTTGAGAAGGCGGAGGACCAAGAGAACAAACCACAGATACGATTCAATTTCACCAAGATTGGTGACCTGAATACCATCGAGAAGGACGCAACAGTCGATACTATCGGTGTTTTGAAGGAGGTCGCAGAGGTTACTACGATAACATCGAAGAACACCAACAAGGACTACAGCAAGCGAGAATTGACACTAGCCGATGACAGCCAGACGTCTGTCAGACTTACCATCTGGGGCAAAGCCGCCGAGAGCTTCGAAGCGCCGCTGGAATCAATCATTGCATTCAAGGGAGCCAAGGTCTCCGACTTTGGCGGACGAAGCCTGAGTTTGCTGAGCTCTGGCACTATGATGGTAGATCCAGACATTGATGAGGCTCACAAGCTGCAAGGATGGTTCAACGCTGCTGGACAAACTGCGACATTCTCTACACACCAGAACCTGACATCGGCTTCAGGCGGTTCCAAGAACGAAGTCAAACCCATCTCGGCAGTCATCGAGGAGGAAGCTTACCTCCAAGACACACCCACATGGCTAAGCCTCCGAGCATCTGTCTTGTACGTCAAGAATACTACCATTGCATACCCTGCGTGCTCGAACACCGGTTGCAACAAGAAGGTCATTGAGGAGAACCCCGGTGCCTGGTGGTGCGAGAAGTGCCAGGCTACCTTCCCTGAACCTCAATACCGCTATGTGCTTAGCGTCAACGTTGGCGACCACACTGGCACGCTGTGGCTGAGCTGTTTTGATGAAGCTGGACAAGACATTGTTGGCATGTCGGCGAACGATGCCATGAAGATCAAGATGGAAGATGATGAGAATAACACGCAAAACTTCATGAATATCATGCAAGAGGCTACATGCAAGACGTTCAACTTCAGGGTGCGGGCGAAGATGGAGACATACCAAGACCAGCCAAAGTAAGTATACTGCATGTCGTGGTTTGATGTCTACTAATATTTTGCAGGCCGCGTTACCAGGTTCAGAACTTGAACAAGCTCAACTATGCCGCGGAGGCCAACAAGCTGGCTCAGCTCATCAAGCAGTACAACATCGACGACGACACCTTGTTTGTCAACTAGAATAGTGTTTGTCTCTTTCGAGCGACTGCATCACGTTCGGTAGTATTTAGTAATGTACATGAGAGCTTCGAATGATGGATGTTAGATAGATGCACACAACGTTCCGCGCGGACAAACCCCCGAATGAAGCAAGTTGTACCATACCATTACGAGTCTATTGCCGCGGCCTATGTTGTCCGACCCCACCATAGCTCAAGCTCAATGACTAGCTGCCCCTCAAACGTCATTACCAATCATTTCCGTAGCTACCGGAATGGCCTCGGAACAGACTACCACTTTCCTTATGAATTTCTGACATTCTGACATTCTGACAATCTCTCTGACAACCCCTCACTAATTGTAAAGCGCCACCTTTCTACATTTCAATCTACTCGTGTTCATTTTCACCGGCCAACAAACCCCATCGACTATTACAATGAGCGACACGATGCGCGCAGTAGGTGTGTACAAACATTAGCATATTTCCACACGCCAAACCGCTAACTTTGCGAAGACATCAAAGATGGCAAAGGCCCAATCGAGAACCTCCACATCACCGACATCCCCAAGCCGAAGCTCGGAAAGTCGCAAGCGCTCGTCAAGATCAAGGCTTTTGGTCTGAATCGCATGGACCTATTGCAACGCGAAGGAATGTATCCAGTACCCCCTGGTGCTTCCAAGATTCTGGGTGTAGAGTTCTCGGGTACAATCGCGGAGTTGAGCGCAGAGGGTGGAGGCAAGGAAGGCTTCAAGGTGGGCGACGAAGTCTTTGGCCTAGCATATGGAGGAGCGTATGCCGAGTACATTGCGGTGTCAACACATATGCTGGTGCGGAAACCAAAGGAGTTGACTTGGGAGCAATGCGCGGGTATTCCTGAGGTAAGTTCGACGCCTTCTCGTAGTGTGCAGTGCGTCTTGTAAGACTGTCTTGCTAACAAAGTCCTTGTAGACCTGGATCACAGCAACCCAAGCCATGTACCTCGTCGGTCAATTCGCTGCCGGCAAAACCATCCTCTGGCACGCCGCCGCCTCTTCAGTCTCGATAGCCGGCATCCAACTGTCCCTCGCCGACAACGCTTCCGCCGTCTACGCAACCGCACGTCAAGACGCCAAATGCGACTTCGCCGTCAAAGAACTCGGTGCAACCGCTGCATTCAACACAACATCTCAGAACTGGGCGGAAGAGGTCATGAAGGCTACAGATGGCAAGGGCGTAGACATCATCGTCGACTTCATTGGCGCATCCTACTTCCAAGCAAACCTTGATGCTGTCGCCAAAGATGGTGTTATCGTCAATCTGGGCTTCATGGGTGGAACCAAGGTGCCAGAGGGTACAGATATCAGTGCATTCATCAGGAAGAGGTGTACCTTTGTTGGAAGCAGTCTGCGATCGAGAGACGAGGAGTACCAGGGCAAGCTCAGGGATCAGCTTGTGGAGCATGCGTTGCCTAAGATGAAGGATGGCAGTTTCAAGCTGTTTGTAGAGAAGGTGCTGCCGTGGAAGAAGGTGCAGGATGCGCACAGGCTGTTAGAGGAGAACAAGACCAAGGGCAAGGTTATTTGTACGATCAATTAGGAGGTAGTCTGATGTGGAAGGGTATCGTAGGGAAGGAGACCACGAGAGATCAGCCAATGACCTCAATTCTAACCACAACATTCAACAAGATACAGGAGAAATTGAACCATGTTTTCAGTACACGTTAACTATTGCTCCACATGTTGCAGCACCATCGCACCTGTTTAATGTTCCTTAAAAGACAAGATTACTGCAGGCTTCGCATTGATGTTCTAATGTTCAAGTCCAACTCCCCCGCCCCAAAAAAGTGAACCTGCAACACCTCACGATCAACAACACCACCACCACCACAGGGCCGCCGCTGAAGCAAAAAGACGACGTTGGCCAGATTCGAACTGACGCTCCCGAAGGAACAAGATTTCTAGTCTTGCGCGATAACCACTCCGCCACAACGCCCCCGGATGCGACACCTGTGTGATTCGAACACACGCTCCCGAAGGAACTGGCTAACTTCCCTCAATACTGAGGACTAGCAGGCCAGCGCGTTAACCACTCCCTAGAATTTGGATTAGCAAGCGTTGGATAGATAGACCGGATCAAACGTACGCCAAAGTGCCAAACAATTGCTTGCTAATTGATGAAGAAATCTGAATTTGGTATGTTCATATGTTCAAGAACCAAATGCCGACGTTAGAGGTCGAAAACTGGAATTCTGGGCGGATCTGGTGGAGGAGAGCTAGAGATGTTGAGTTGGGGCGACAGGAAGGTGGGACGTGTTCGTGGGGCTGGAAATTTGACGGGTAATCGGGCGGTAAGTGCGGGGACGTTGAGCTGAACTTGGACTTGGTAACTTCGAACATCTCTTCACATCACCCCATCACTATTCGACAATAGGCCTTCGAGGAATGCCGAGCTCCCATAAATCCTGAGATCTGAATGCTGGTTCATTGAGTATGTTGTTTCCCATACGTATTCTAAGGTAACAGCGGTCAGCCTAAGCTGTCGGCAAGCGCCAAAACAAAAGGGGGAAGATCGTGTATAAAGTAGATGGACGACCACCGGAGTATAGCCACGAACCTATGTACTTGAGCCCTGGGGAACAACTCACTGCTGACCCGTCAAACCACTGGCCACTCAACCTTGAACCGACTGACTGACAAGCTTGGGGACCGACGTCAACAATGCTGTCCACGGACGGCTTAGCTACGTCTCTTCCATCAGACCTCATGCCTTCGCTTCCGCTTCGAAAGCCCTCACTCGCTCGGCGAAATCGTCTCGTCTCTTGTCAAACTGACGAATTGCTTGTTCGAGAGTCTGCAAGAGAGACTTGACGCAAGAACCACCTGACTTCTGGACCTTGCCGTACATGGTTCTCATCTCTTTTGCCTCTTCCACCAACGTGGCCAAGTGTCTGCCCAGAACCTTTGACGCAATCTCGAAGGCAAGCTCTAGAGTATCTGGATTTCTCAAACAGCCGATCGCTGGAAGCAATCGCTTGCGATCTGCTGGCGCATACCCTGCCATCTGCTTTCTTACCCATTTCAAGAACTCGACGTTGTCCAAAGGAGGGGTCTCTGGCTCTGTAGGCACCGGTGTACCTCTCAAATCTGCCAATCTGCCCATAGGAAACGCTGGTGATGATGACCTTTCCGACGCTCGTGACTTTTTCGGCGCTCGAGCTGCACCATCGCCAGTGCGTTTTCGCTTCAAGTCCGTCGCATTTGTAGATGGCGAAGGATGCGGACACTCCGAGTCGTCGTTTTCGCGGTGTGAAGAGGTGGGATCGACACTGTCCGTGGACAGAAGCTTTGGAATCGCAATTTGAATGGATCCTGGCAAGTCTCCGTTGGTGAGCTCTAGGTCGTATAGTATGAGGATGGCCTTCGGCTGTACAGTCTCGGGAACATCCTGCCTCGCCATCGCGTTATCAGCACCAGCTCCGGCGCTGTTTTGATCGTTGTCCATCTCTTTTCGAAGTGCAAGCCGCAAAGGATGGGGCGAGGTAGCGTGGGAACAGGCAGTTAAGGAAAGGCGGAAAGACCTTGTATGGTCGCAGTAGCTCTAAATCTGCCTTCGCCTTTTTTTCGTCTCTCACCTTCACCTACGAAACAGGCAGTCACCTCGGCCTTGGCGCTTTCAACAGGGCCAAGCGGAGCCCTTGACTGACCGAATGCTCATCTCAACGAAACAGAACTCCCGCAACACACACGAGATATAAGATGACTGAATCCGCCCATTAAATAATGGAAGGGGTGAGAAAGAGGCCAACGAAACTGAACTTACGCACAATACGACCGTTGGCCCAAGACCGAATTGCGAACAGTTGACGAGATAGGTAAAGTCATGGTTCAGCTGGCATTCGGAAGCCTACCGGGAGGCCACATTCCACCCACATGCGACGAGTCAATACATCAGCTACCTTCCAACGAATACGAAACCGTGGTTCTATCAAGATACACACTACAAGTCCGGCCCCGGACCTATCCCTGGAGCTAGCAACACAATGAAGGTTTGCCCTCTCAGCACTGGGATAGTGGGTCTGGGCAGTTTGATGTCTTTCCACGTGGGCGGTGGAGCGCACCTGGGCAGCTCACGTGCGTGACGCGTCGCGAGACAAGTTTCTTCCTCCCACCGCCCTTCAATCTCGACGGCCAAAGAAATCGTACTGCAGGTAGAGTGAACCTCTAGCAAGGGTGATGGTGCGACAGAAACTCTTGAACGCAAGCCAGTCTGCAATTTCGCGACATCCAAGATGCGGGTCGTCGGGGTATTCACGATGACAGCAAAGAAAGAGACACTGACAGCAACTACGGTGGTGATTGGTGATCTTCAAGATGACGAGAGCACTGTCGGTAACGATGCGGACTGGCAGGCGGCTCTACGCGATGCTCGCGCTATTCTGACCGAGCGGGGCGTCATCACTGTCTATTGGAACTCCGAGTTGATGCCCGGCGCGCAGAGGAATGGGATGAACCAAGACCACTTCGGAGACCTATACTACCACGGTCGTAAGATCGACCGAATGGAACGTTTACAATATAGTCAACCACCCAGAGCTTGAAGGGAGCGCCTCTTGTTTGACCCCAAGCACGCAACTTATGCGTCAGCCCAAGCAGGTCATACCATTGTGGTGGCTACATACAGTCAGCTTCAAGCCATCAAAGACGGCAAGAAGGAGCGAGGAGAACGCGATAGACGCTTGAGGATCATCTTGGACGAAGGACAATGCATCCGCAAATGCGACGAGACGAGGCAAGCCGGGATACCAATCAGCTGAAAATCAACTGTGACGTCTACAACTACGGCGAGGAAGCTGGTACCCGCAAGGAGCGACTCCTCTTCGACAAAAGGCACAGCGTATACACGGGGGCTCGTGCGGGACACACAGTTGTGGTGGCAAGCTACAGCCAGCTGCAAAACCTGAAGGATACCGAGAGTGCGCGCGAGCAGCGGCACAAGCTTTTTTTCCGCATCATTCTTGACGAGGCTCATTGTATCCGTAGATGCGATCGGACTCGACAAGGTAAGATCCTGATGTCGTTTGACGCCCACTTCAAGGCTGTATTCACAGGTTCGCCTGTTGTTGACACTATCCTGGACTTCGATGGGTACTTGGCTTTCCTAGAGTTCGTCGGATGGGGATGGGTAGCCGATCTAAACTCAACCCACAGCACCGACGAGGTTCGAAAGTCGCGGTACGACAAGTTCAAGGAAGGCCTGGCTCCCGGTGTCAACAACCGCTCTGAGCCCCTCGAAGATTGGCACAGCGACTGCAGCTCGGTAGACGAGCTAGATGCTCAACAAATTAAGGGGTCCATCGAAGACGGGTGGCAGTGCTCGCACTGGCCTGCGCTCATAAGATACAACGGTGATCGTCCACCAAGCCTGGATCGCAATGACAGGAAGAACATCGACGGCAAGAATATCGTGAAGGATGTTTCACCTCCGGTTCAGGAGAACCCCAATGATATGTACTATCCCAGGGTCTCGGATAGTAACAAGTACTATTCGATCGCTTCCTTCAGGCACTAGATCACACTGTCGTCAAGGACCGCTCTGAGTCGATCGAGGATTGGAGGAGCGACTGCAACTCGATGGACGGTCTTGGCGACATGGAAATCAGGACAGAGATCTCGCACGGCTGGTAGTGCGCGTACTAGACCGCGCTGCTGAATTACAACCGCGACCGACCTTCAAGCCTCGACCGAAAATCCCACCAGAAAGTGGATGGCCAGTTGATACTGGTAGACATACCAGCACCGTTCCCAGAAAACCCATACGACAACTACCATCCGGCCAACCTTGACAGCTTGAAGTGCTGTTCAACAGCAGCCTTCTGTTACTACATTGGAAGGCATATCAAGAAGGCCGTCATGGATGAAGTGGATGTAAAGATCGTCGCCACACGCGTCCAGAAGATCCTTGCGATGATGGTCCTGTCAAGAAATCTTTTCAGTAATAATGTTGCAGAGACCAGTGAGAACATGAATCTTGTTTTTGGTTCATGCTTTCGTGATATAGGTATCGAGGAGCCTACAATCCCTCAATTCATTTGTCCAGCAAAGTTATCAAGCAGCTGCGAGAAGACACTAGCTTTACTAATGGTTTGATCACTGTGACTATACATACCTGGAAGCCTACAATTCATCAAGAAGATACCGGGTGTCAATGTATAAACAATGCGGAGGAATACAAACCATCTACAGTTGTCTGACATTTTGATGGCGACATCTTGGGTAGCTACATCGAAGCGTACGGCCGCCAAATGAAGCCCAGAAAAGCAGTGTACATAAGCCCAAGCTCCGATTTCTCCAAATCATCGGTGCTCTGCACCCACATTGGGTTCTCATGGCTCGAGTGTCAACATGGGCAATTCGCACGATGCGAAAGGAGGGTCTCCATCTTCTCACCGCCAGAATGAAGAAAGCTGGAGCCTCGAACCCGGAAGATAAGAACCGCCCACTGGAAAGCGATGAAACGATCTTGTGTCAATTCTTGTGGGGAAGCCCTGACTACCATTGACGATTGGCAGCCTACAACGAGCGAGAAGACAGGTACCAGCGTGGGTTTGCCGAGCACTTCGAAGCGGCCTCGTTGGCAAAGAGCGCGAAGGTAAAGGACTCCAAGACGGACTCAGCAAAGATCGGATCCAAGTTCGCAAAGCTGTCGGTGCTGTGTACGCACATCGGCTTCTCCGGGCTGGACAAGATGTCGATGGCGGCAATCTGTGCGCAGCGGCGTGAGGGTCTCCTTCTTCTGACTGCTCGCATGAAGAAGGCGGGAGCCTTGATTCCGCAAGACAAGGACACTCCGCTCGATAGCGATGAGGAGGTCTTGCGCCAGTTCCTCTGGGGCTCTCCGAAGATGCGCTTCCTCATATGGGAGATCCAGCGCGTGGTTTTGGGTAACACCAAGGTCGCCAGCCACAGGAAGCTGCTCCTGAGCTTCAAGTTTCCTCGATCGGCCGAAATGTGCCTCAAGCTTGTAGAATTGGTGGGCATTCACCTGGACATCAATATGTCCGCCGATGATCGCCACAAAAACATCCGAGCCTTCGACGAGAAGGACTTTCCACAAGTCCTTATCACCACTTATGCCCTTAACATCGCCGGCCACGACGCACAGCACCGATGTGCAACGGTACATCATGTCGAACCGGCCTTCAATTGGGCCACGGAGCATCAGGCAGGCACGAGGGTTTACCGAATCGGCCAAGAACAAGAGGTCGAGATCGTGCGCTTGTTCACGGAAGGAACTTACCAGGAGCTGCATGAGGCGGGCATGATCAAGAAAGCCAACTCCATGTTTGCCGCTTTTGGTGAGTTGCAATCTGCAAGTGAGGGCCTCGAGGACCGGGAGAAGATGGCGACAGAGGAGATCGCGAAAGGTGCATTCGGCATAGTCCGGGATTGTGTGCGGGGCCGCGACGACAAAGACGTGCAATCAGCCAAGGAGGACGCCATCACCAAGGCGGAAGGCAAGGCGAGAGTACCGTAAGAGTAGGTTGGCTCTGATCGTGCGACTGTGGATTGAAGGTATCTACTAGTGACAGGAATGCCTTTGGAGAGGGGATAGCTTTCGGAGAACTTACAAGTGACACGCATGAGCTAGCTGGAAGGCTACGTTGCAACGTGAATAGCGATGACTAAGGCTAACACGTGCACTAGAAAGCTACAGCTAGAGTTGGCAGGATATTAGCTGTATAAGAGGAGATAGCTAGGAAGCTACTATGCAGTGCACATCGGTATAACTAATTGTCAAAGCTGACCGGGAAGACTACAATAGCTATCGTTAAGATGAATTCTATAACTAAACAACGACTAGGAGATAACATATCCCGTTGGCGGTGATAGCGTGTGCCCACGTTGTGCGACTGTTGAATTCGTAAAGCCATCATTGAAAGGGCTTGATACAGGTACTCTATAAGAGTCGGCCAGTGGAGGCTGCAGATCTCGTGGCGATTGTGGACGTTTCCTAACCGCTGCTCACCTAATCGCAATAGATTCTCGCTCCTCCTAGCGGAAGACACTCAATAATCTCGGCGTCGTCACCGAACTGCCCTCTCAGGACCATCTTAGACCTGGTAACGTCTTCGAACAAACGTTATGACGTAGTCTGTTGCCCGTCTAGACCCCGAAGGACACAGCGCAGATACGTCTTTCATCCGCTTTTTGTAGACAACCATGTATGCTCAACCCTCTACTGTGTTTATCGAGATGAGTGCCATTAACGCCTATGTCGCCGTCTCGTATACACGATACCGTAGCACGAGACGTGCTAGTCTTCTACCTCCTCCCGCCAACTATTCTAGCGAGACCTTCTCAACTGATGTCGTCCGAGAGTTCCTCGCCATATGACTAAGTACATGCTCTGCCAGCGTGATAATCAAACAGATCTATGGTAGAAAAACGAACACGTAACAAGGGTCTCGTGACTTCGTAAGGTCGCAAATATCAGGTATGGTGTAGTCGTGATGTGGCATGATCGATGTTGTGCTCATGCCGGTTCGAAAAAGTTGGTCATTACGCCAGTCGGAACCACGGGCGATCTCTTTGTGCCACATTTTGACTTCTTGAGCACGCGTTACGGGTCGCCGTTCCGCCCGATCAAGCGACCGTTGTGTGCTTGACCGTAGTCTTTCCAGTCCTGGCAAGCCTTCCAGGCCGCCAGTAGGTTCTTGACGCCGTCATCTACCGCCGTGTCTGTGGAAATCCTACAAGAAGGTCATGGCCTCGAAGAGCCCATAGTAAAAGCCGGAATTGTGCTGAGGGAAGTAGGCTATGTCCATGCCAAACACCAAATCCGGTGAGCGGATGATGAGCGTGAAAGACGGAGAGCGCTGGAGCCATGGCAGGATGAGGTCTGCCTTGCATGCGAAACCATCTAGGCCGATGGAAAGTATGATAGGCTTGGTTCCACGAGCGGTGAAATGCTCCAGGAACCTGTCGATAGTATGCGTATATTTATATGCGCGAGCATAATAAGCCCTTCGGGTTGGGTCGGTGGTCGTGTGCGCTTGGGAGAACTTTCCTGTTGGGGCGACTGATGTATGGACGCCGGACATCGCAATGAGTGTAGCATTGATGCCCTCATTGCTATCGTAGTCGTTCGCGAACTCGTCGAAAAGGTTGTTGGCCCATATCTTTATGCCATCGGCCAGGTGCTCCTCTCCGGCCTTCCAAGCTTTAGGTGGTTCCCTCGAGGCTCTTACTATTGCAAGCACGCATGGTGCTTTGCTGGTCATAGACTTTTGATAATCGACCCGGAAAACGCTGTCGAATCGCGCTGTGATTTCTCCATGTTTGCCCTTGCATCCCGACTCGTGTGAAGCTAGGAGGTAAAGGTCGTAATAGCGGTTCTCGCATTTACTGCACCTATAAAGTGCCCTCGAATCGTGTACATGCATGCCAGCATGAGTACCATACGATTGGATATGCTCTTCTTTCCTTCGCTGTAGAATCGTTGTTGAAGTCCGGCTAGCAAATAGAGGCCGCACCGGTGAAGCCTTCGCCGCTTTGTGGTCTTCCGGAGGCGTCATCTGAGAACCTGGGTGGCTGCAAACTTGGACGCGGCACCAGGGTCGTTGTTGCCAGTTCTTGGGGAAAATGAAAGTGACATGTATCCTCCTGCCCTCCTCGTACAAAAGCACCCAGTACTCCCCGTCGTAAACCAAAACGATAACCATCCCGAATGTGTTGATAACGATGTATATGCAATTGAAAGGGTTACATTTGCAGTCTCAATCTAAAAGGGGAATCATATAGTTACTAGCTACTCGCATTTCATCGTAATGGCATCCGTAGCTCGAAGAAGAAGATTACACAACGCCGATACTGCCCATGGCGATGATCGTAATCATGACCAGATCGCACCCATACCTCTAGGAAAAATCTCGAAACGTCGCGGCCGAAGCCTAGTAAGGGCTGTTCACAATATCATTCCGACCGAGATAGCTTCCGCGTACTCCGCTCTTCCTCCCAGCGCCGACGCGACTCGGCATCGCGATACTCTCGCGTGTCGGTCGCTGCAACGCCCTCTTAGCTACCATGTCGACTTCGTTTGGCAGCGCAACAATAAGGTTCTTGTCTGATCCGAACTTGAAGTTATCGGCCTTGACTTCCTCGGAGTAGCGCTTGATGTTGTATGGGTCCTTCCGGTTAGCCAGCACCTTCTTAAGGCTCCAAGTAACGATGAAGGGACCAGTAGCACTGATGATGGTTGTCTCCTTGTCGTCGAGACCTGTGTTGAAGCGCGCGGTGGTGAAGGAAATCGGGGCTTTGGTCTCATGCTGGAACTGGGCGACGTGGGCAGGCGTGAGGGCCAGACGGCGTGGTTGGGGCTTGTCATCTTTGGCGAAAGACTTCTCGAAACCAAGTTTGCCATCGTTTTTGCCGCCCTTCTGGAGAGCGTCGATGAGGAGGAGGTAGGTTCGGGTGGTGGCGAGAACCCAGCGACCATCGGCTGAGACGTCCATGCCGATGATTGGGTCACCGAGCGCGGGGATGAGGGTCTTTGCGTTGATGCCGAGTCTGTCGAATAGGCGGATGTCTCCCTTCTCAGACGCAACAGCAATATGTCCCTTTTCGGTAGTCGCGGCAGCGGAGAATGCGTTCTTCGTAGCGTACTGCTTGAGCTGGTCGTCAACAAGCTTGTTGCCAGCCAAACGAGGATCGACACGGTAGAGTGCGTTATCGGAGAGACCCAGGAAGGTCTGCTCGCCGCTCATCTGGGCAAATTTCTGTAACATGTCAGCTTACATTCAGATATCAGCAGATGTATACGTACGTTCTCCGGCGCAAAGACCTTGACGGGAATGTCGTCGTGCACCTTCCACTCATCAACAACAGTACCGGTCTCGAGATCCATTCGGTAAAGGTTGTTTGGGTTCTCCAGGTTCTGGAGGATCATGTCGCGATCCTGCTGGTGCAGCATGACCTTGTTCGGGTTGAAAGCCTTGCCGCCTGGTGTCTTGATGTTTGAGATGGTTGTAGAGAACTGCAACTGGTTCTCGGGCGTGTGCTTGAAAACACCGATCTTGTTTCCACGCACAACGAACGACCTGTCGTGCTTGTAGCCAACCGCCAACTGCGAGTTCTGGTCTCCGTCTGTCGGGCCAGTCTCGACGTCATCCTCGGACTCATCAGAGTCATAGTGTTCGCTCCGCATCTCGTTGGTGCTCTCGTATTCTTCCTCGTCCTCCTCTTCTTCCTCTTCTGGCTCCTCGTCTGGCGCATCTTCCATAGTCAAGTCCTGGAAGGCTTCTAGAACGTATTCTCGATCTGTATCCTTTGCCTTGCCCCATTTGACCTTGTTCAAGTGCTCCCAAAGGGCTTGCATCACACCTTGCTGAATGTTCTCGAGCTCGTCTTGATCCTTGAACTTCAACAGCCATGAGTACGCCGAGCCATCGTCGAGATAGTGGTTGAAGATGAAGGATTTGTATTCGTAGTTGAAGACGGGATTGATATCCTCGACGATGGGCTGTCCCAGCCACTCGCGCTCTTCGCCAGCAATGTGCAGCCAGTAGTTCCAGTCGCCAATCTCGGTAACAGTGACGCTGACCTTGTCGTCCTGCTTCATGAAGGTGCCAGAGGGGAAGTCGAAGAGGTGAAGCTCCGCGTCTCCTTCGACCAGGGTCTCAAGAGCCCGGGGCTGGGCGGCGGAGGGTGGCGCGGCCGTAGCGTCCTCCTGCTCCGGGACGGCGCCCTTGCCTGCAACCTTCTTGGCCATCTTTTCCTTCGTGGTGTTCGGGAACAGTTCTTCGGTAGTGGGAGGTTCGATGGGAAGCGCGCGGGCGTTCGAGAGGGTCGGGCTGGCGATGGGGCTTGCGTCGGGGATGGGTTCCTCGTAGTAGGCTAAAGCAGCGAGGTCGTCTTCGGTCGCGTGCTCGTGGCTTCTCCGGAACTTCCTCTCGTACTGGCACTGCAGGGCCACGCGCTCAAACAAAGACGCGGTTTCGGGCTTGACTGACGGGTCGCACACAAACTCCCAAAGATCGTCGACGTCGCCGCTGAGGTCGCGCCAAGCAAAGATCTTCTCGCCGGTGGAGCGGACGTCGTCGCGGAACTGGAGGTCTTCGTCGAGCAGGAATGTCTTTTCGTCCTTGTCGCCGGCAAGCGCGTCAAGTGCCGCGTCCTCGTTCTCTTCTGCTAGCAAGTCCTCCTCGCCTTCTTCGTATGCGCGCTGGATGACGAGCTGATACTGGAACTCCTGCCCGGTGCGGCGGATGGTAGCTGCAGCGTCCTACTAGGCTGTTAATGCACATGCAGTCCAGGATCACGGCTATGCGTACCTTGAATATAAGCTCCGAGTATCCCTTGACAGAGCGGGGTCGGACAAGGTAAAGCTGGCCCTGGGCGATTTCGACGATGGTTTCCTTGGAGCTGTCGCCAAAGACAAATTTACTGACTGGTGGTACGGATTAGTGTCGTCGCAGCAACGGAGGGGGAGGGGCAGCGGCTCGGGAAGGAGAAACATGGCAAACAAAGCTCGACTTACGGTTTCGGAGCATGAACATGGCGGCGACTGCTGAGTGGCGGGGCGACGCAAGAGCTAAGCCTTCATTTAAGCTCAGAGGAAAGGCGCTCGCTCAAGTCCATCTAGGTGACGTCTAGGGTAGTTTGCACGGGTTCTGGTGATGATGCAGGGTCTAGGCAAACACTCGCAGCCGCCTCGCTTAGCGACGTCATGGGTAGGGCTGACAGCAAGCTTTCACTCGGCGCGGACATTGTGGGTACGAAGAGAACCTCTCAGCGCATTACATTCAGTTAAACTACTACTTAGCGGCCGCTGGACTACAGGCCAAACTATCACTCGCGATATGAAACTTGTTCTCAGAAACACATGGCCCAATAATCGCCTCCCTTCTAACGGCATTAATATCTGTCATTCTGCGCAATTAGGCAGCAGGTTGGAAGGCAGTCAAACTGCTGGCGTCCGAATAATGACGGGAGCCTGATTGTTGGTTTGACCTTTTCATTCGACAGCGCTGCATGTCGCTCTCACATCTGGGTATCATTGCTTTTGTTTCGCTTTTCGACTAATCTTTACGCTCCACATCTTCTCACGGTGATTTTTGCGCACCCCACACGATGCTCTCCATAAGCGCATACGGTGAAGAGTCGAGATCCAGACCAAGCAGTGGCGACTGCGAGAACATGTTCTCGGCATCTCCGTTGAGGGCATTGTTGATGTCCTGTGCAGTGAAGACGTGCATCGTGGGGGATGCCTGTGAGCCTGCTTCACTCGCCTTGCGGTTGTGTGTCGTGGTGATTCTCAGTAGCCGCTCCAGAGCTGACACAGATCGTGTAATAGGCGTGGCGAGCTCGGCAGGATCGACGTCTTTTGTGACATCTGTGAGGACTTGGATCACATTCTGCAACAGACTGCGCGCCCGTTCGTTGCGATTGTGTTCGCCGAGGATACCCAGCAGTAAGGCAGAGCTCAAGGAGCGATGCACAGCGGACCAGGAACGGGTAGCAAACGGGGTCATGTTTTGCAGACCGAGGAATGCTTCGACCGTGTTGGTGAGACTATCGATGCATGTCTTCCGCAGTGTCTTGGAAAGGTCGAGATTGACGGTGGCGGGGCTGATGGCTGGCCGACACAGCTCAGATGTGACGTACGATATGTGCAGATATAGCGCCCAGTGTTCGAGCTGATCGCGCATCGACCTGCATCTTCTCGAGTCTTTGAGGTAGTCTGCGGCATCAATCATGATTTCCTGGAGTTCGTTGCGATGTTCAGTGATCCGTATCAGGGCATCGTGCGAGTTTTGTGGCCGTTGGCGCTCACGGACTATGTCGAGGCCTACTTTGCACAATCGGTACATACTCTCGACGTATGTTCTCGTCCCCGGCGCTGTATGTTGGCTCATGGGTACAGTATGGTCAATAGTGGTGGTCGACGAGGCTCTGTCGTATGAGACAGACAGCAGCGAGTCCTGCCAAAGAAGCGCCCACCATGTCTTGCTCCGGATCACCCTTTGCTGCACTGGCGTTGACGGAGGACACTGTCGGTGCAGTCCTAGGGTTTGCGAGAGGCGGACTGTCAACCCCATCAGACTCCAAGCAACTCCGGCGTTCATGTTATTTGATATGACGTTTCCAAGGATAAGAAGGGTCTGTATGTTTTCGATGGTCGCGTGCGATAAGAAATTGGTGAACCGTAGGCACTCGAAGCTGCAGCAGACGTAGACCTGCGATGTCAACTCCCTCTCTTTTCGTGACAGGCTCGAGCATTGACATCCTGAAGCTAGTATAGCAAAGACCATGCCTATCCAGTGAAAGTCTTTCCCATATATTTGCTGATCCGTGATGCCGTTCGTACCCTGTGAGCTAGCGCGGTTGATCAGGAAGAGCAGAAGATCAGATTCGATGGCCTCGATGTCGGCAACGGCGGGGTATA